GCGTATTACATAGAGAAAGAATATTTGGAAATACTAATATCTTTCATTACAAGAATTTAAAAATCCTAAATAATGGGAGAAATATTGTAAATTTGATCGTCGTAATKCAGGAAAACGCAATAAACTACCCTTAGCTTTTTTTAACAATGACTATAACTGTAAAACCGTTGTTTTTCCGTAATCATGATAAAATAAAACAACAAATGACACCACAATCGATGTACTTAGCCGAACTGCGWGGCATCAATATCAACAAAATAAGAAGCATTTTTCTTAATTCGCTCATTAAACAACGCGTTGTTCAAAACGCATTTTGAGAATAATCTTAACGTGTGTGGGATCATCTATGTCAACCCTTATTGCTATCAATGGAAAGTAAATTGAAAGTTGGATGCATAATGAATGAATGCATGGCATTTTGGGTAAAATCCATCTGTTTGATTTCAAACAATTCTGCTCATAAACCACAGAGGTTCCGGGATACTATTGTTTCTTTGAGAAAAAAGCTCTATAATGGCTTGGAAAAAGCGGTCATTACTAAAATATCAAAAAGTAGCAGTTTCTAACTAAATGTTAAACCACAGGAAGCCCAATGACTCAATTGCCCTTCAAATATAGATTTTTCCACAGTCTCCCGCTCGACGTTTAGACTTTCCCACAGTCTCTGTTATGTTTGTTAGCCAGCTAGTTCCGGGAACCCTTTGCAAGGCCTGGTTACCTGGCCGTGGATGCCATCTTGTTTTCATGTAACATGCAAATGTGTGAGGACTCTTTGGTCGTTTAATAAATGCCCAAGCCGAAACCACTTGACTGAGTTCCTTTATACACATTTATACACATACCACTGACGACGAGGATGGGATGYTGACAAGCTCTGAGTATTTTCAACAGCAAAAATCACCTAAACCCCTAGAAATTGCCGAAGGGTACCATTTTACCAGCGTACAGAGAAAGTGAAAACATTCATCAATTCATGGCCTCAATAAAACGAATGACTGAGCACTGCTTTGAGGCGTTTTTGCCTTACGACTGTTTTGTTTGTGGATCGGTCCAACAAAACTATTCAGATGAGAAGCATTTGTGTGAGCATGATCTTACACTCGAGAGATCCACAACCACCCAACATACAGTCATCTCTGAAAGTCAAAAACTGGAAGTCAACCAACCAATCCAAAACTGCCAAAGATGCGGGAAGTCGAGTCAACCTCGACGAAATTGCAAATTCTACAATTCCGCAGCCAAACGCTTAAAGTCTCAACACTCACTAGTGGACGACCATCACCAGGAAAGAGAGGAAGTGAGCGATATTGATCAACCTTGTCAGAACATTTGTGCGAAAAACGGAGTAAACTTTCGTTGGCACGGGTGGTCTAGTAGTAGTCAAGCTGCTGGTCTCTCACCACTGTGTTCCGGGTTCCATTCCCGGGCATGGACCACGGGTAATTTGAGTTTGTTTGATGTACTGTTCTCTCCCTTTCCACGAGGGTTTTCTCCGGGTTCTCAGGTTTTCCTACTTAGTAAAAATCAACATGTGAGGAGTGTTGTGTGCTAAAATACTTAACGTAGAGGTAGTTAGTGTGAGAGTATAGGGTCCGCAGAATTGGCTCACGCTGTTGCGGTGTCCCTGCCCATACTAGGGGCAAAGCTAATAAAAAATTAAAAGTTTAAAGTTTAAACCACCCATAATGATCAATGTCTGCCTAGAAGGGAAGCGCATTAACATGGAGCTAGACACAGGTTCATCAGTGTCTGTC